CCAGTCGGTGATCGCTCTGGTCCAGCGGTCGTCCTCGAAACGCATGACGTGTCCGGCCCACCTGATCTTCGAAACCTTGGCAAATGCGGCGGCGTCTCTGATCTTCGATCGTGGCGGAGTGCGGAGCTCCGGATTCCCTCTCTCACTTGCGTGTAGCGGGAAACTCCGAGCATCGCCCTTTCGATGGCGCGTTGAATAACGCCGACCGCATGCTCATCCTGCTTTCGTAGAGTCCAAGTCTCTGAGGCGTACGTCAAGGCAGGAAGGACCGCGGAATCGAAGAGGTGGGCACGGAGCTTGGTGTTCTTCGTCTTCTTCGCTACTCCCTCGATGTTCTTGAAGGCTCCCCAAGCCGCTCGCTTCCTCCTGCTCAGCTCTGGTGCTAAGTCGTTCATCATATTGATTTCACGACCCAGGTACACATAGCTAGAGCATTCAGAGATGGTCGTTCCGTTGAGCGTGAATGGGGCATCAGAAACCAATCCGTTTCTCATGAACATCGTCTTCGTTAGATTCAGCCGTAGACCGATTTTTCCACACGCGCAGTCGAATTCAGCCAGCATTCGTTCCGCTTGCTCGATGTTTGGTGTTATCAAAACGATGTCGTCAGCAAAGCGGAGATGGTGTAGTTGCCGACCGTCGATCTTCACTCCCATGTCTTCCCATTCCAGTTGACGCATGACGTTCTCGAGAGAGGCGCTGAAGAGCTTGGGCGAGATGGTGTCGCCCTGTCGGACCCCTCTCTTCACATCAATGATGATCTCCTTGTAGAATGGTGAGATCTTGGTCGTGAAGTTGCTGTAGAGCTCACGAAGAATCCTGATGTACTGAGTAGGAATACCCTGGTTGCCCAGGGCTTCGATAACCGCTTCTGTCTCAACGGAGTCGAAGGCTTTCTTCAAGTCGATAAACGTGAGACATAACGGCATCTTGTACTCTCGCGATACTTCAATGAGCTTCGTTACCGTGTGGATGTGATCAATCGTGCTGAATCCTCTTCGAAACCCTGCTTGCTCGCATGGCTGTCCTTCGTCTAGTGTTCTTCCAATCCTGTTTAAGGATGACTCGTGTGAAAAGTTTGTAGACTACAGACAGCAGGCAGATTGGGCGATAATTGCCAATGTCGTACAGGTCTCCCTTCTTGTACAGCAACACAGTGCTGGTTTTCCACGAGGTGGGTACCTTGCATTCCGACAGGTAGCGCGTGAAGAGTCGAGCCAGAGTTTTGACGAGAACTGGCGGAAGATTCTTCAGATGTTCGGGTCTGATCGGGACCGGGTGCCGTACGATTCTTCACCGACGAGATGGCGTGTCGGACTTCGGAAGGGAGAACTGCAGGAACGACGTATCCATCCTGCTCCAAGCGGTATGGTGGCAGTGGACGTGGCTGTCAAAGAGATCAGAGTAGAAGTCGTGGATGACCTTCTCCATTGCCCTTCTGGATGCGGTGATTGTTCCGTCCGGACGTCGGAGGGCGGTCATCTTGGTCTTGCAGTTGGCGAAGTCGCGGCGGTTTTGCGGATGCTCTTCCCAGCCTCTGCGGCTTCCACCAGTACTGCTGCTCTTCTCTCCTTGAGGTCTTCCTTTATCGCTTCTCTGCATAGCTTCGCAAGCTCAGACGTCAGCTGGTAATTGCCTGCGGCTCGTGCGGCTCCACGTTGGCGAATCAGCTCGAGAGTTTCCAGAGATAGACGCTATTCCTCGTCGATGTTGTCGATTATGGAATCCTCCCAGAGCCCAGCGAGAGAAGTGAAGTGATCCCAGTTGATGACGGTCTTGGGGCTTCGCTTCTTGAACTTTGCGGCTCTCTCTCCTCGCATCGAAAAGCGGAATCTTGCGCGAAGGAGACGGTGGTCGGATCCCGTGTAGAACTTAGGGACAACAGCGACATCGGTCAGGCAAAACCTTCGATTGAAGATGATGTGGTCGATCTCGTTATGGAATTGTCCACCAGGAGACTCCCATGTCCAGCGTAGAGAGTAGGGCTTCTGGAACTGCGAGTTACCATGGATGGTATGGGTCGACATGATAAACTCAGACAGCCTTTCACCCTGCTCATTCCACTCCATTCCGTGAGTTCCGATGTGAAGTTCTTCAGCCGTTCTTCTTGGTCCGATCTTAGCGTTGAAATCACCGACGATGACCTTGAAGAAGGTATGATCTTCCTTGTAGAACTTCTCCAATTCCATATAGAACGCTTCGAGCTCATCCTCGTCGTAGCTTGATGTTGGTGCGTAGGCGACGAAGATTGTCAAAGCTGGAGTTGAACCACATCTTCTCAATCGCAAACGTCCGATTCGGGTCGTCAGATTTTCGTACGAATCGATGTTCATGGCCAAGTGCGTGTTGACGAGGACGCCCACACCGCCAACGCCTCTGCTGTCGCATGTTCCGAGGAACAGTTCTTCTCCAGTCTCGTATACGGCGTGTAGCGGGCGATGCCTCCTCGTCTCGGTCAGTCCGATGACGTCGTACTTGATCTTCCTGGCTTGCACATCTTCGATGTGAGCTTCCGTTGCAAGCGTCGTCGTGCGCTGAAATACAAGTATCGTGGCATTTCTATCTGCTGTGGCGACCCTTTTAATCTCCGTTGTCCCTGTGATTCTAGCAGCCTCGCCCGAGCGGTCCCAGCCGACGTCGCCCTGTCGGTGGTTCCCTCAGGTTCAGGGGAATGAGGCCCATAACTGTTACTGTTTTCGGCGAGAAGAAGTTTAACCACGCGTAGCTCGCCAGGCTCTGACGTGGCACCTCCTTTCCGCATTGCCCGTACGTTTTTTCGGAACAGTCCAAAAAACCATTCATCCCACGCCAACGATGAGGCTGCCATAGGTATCTGTGGGGGGGGGGCGGATAGGATTTGTGGGGGTTGGTTATTCATGTAATAATTTATATTTTCACCTACCAAAATTGAGATGGTCGGATATGTGTTGTAGAAGCACCCAGAGGTACTGATTTTACTTACATTGTCTTTATTTGCTGATTGAGATTTGTTCTCGATAGCAGGTGAATGTTTCCCCGTTCGTGAAATATTTCGGATGGGTTTCGGATCGGCTAGGGGTAAATGGCAAGCGGGTTTTTATGCTTCACACGAGGATTACTTATTTCGAACGCAATTTCATCAGGATTAAAATCGTCTTGAAACCGCCCTATCTTTTCTCTTTCCAATAAGCTTTACAGTTTTCCTGAAGACCCGCTAGTTCAGGAGATATTTTAGATGGGTCACAGACGCGCTACCCTCTGACCCACCCGAAAAATCGACTCCTTCTGTGCCATTGTGAGGATACACCTTCGGAAACTTCAGTGTGCCTTCAAATGAGTGAAAGAGGAGCTCGGCTATCTCTGATCGATTTGGTCCGAGTGTGCGTGCATTAGGCTCCTACGCAGAGGTGGTGGAAAGGTGTAAATTCTGATTTCAGGTGCTTTTATCCATGCAAGCAGATGTTTGTTTAGGGTTTGGAAAGGACAATACGCACGAATCTGTTTGAGACGTATTATTTAGTCATCTACGTACTTACGAGTTCATGCTATTAACTGATATTTATTTATTTATTTATTTATTTATTTATTCTTGCTATTCTTGCTATATTGCTAATAAATTTTTTATTATTTTGTAGTCCTACTTACATCCGGGTCTTCTGCAGCTTTCCGTCCGTTCTATCAATGACATTTTTGTACTGTTTGATGCCTAGCGAGCCTACTTTTGCGATACTCCCCACGTCCCCCGCGGCCAAGTACGAACCCATTTTTGGGGATTTCGCATGAAAAGAGGGCTGTTAAACGTAGCAGTTAAATCTGTAAAGAATACACTCATAATAATTTTCATTTTTTTTAACATCTTGACTTCCATAGCTCCACTCCCACTATCAACTGAAATGTCAAAGCATTGCCCGGCTCTGAGTGACCCTTGAGGTTACGACCCCATAAGCCACTAAATGTAGGACCGGAATTATTCGAAATCCTACCGTATCTTTTTCGCGGCGGGACACACGCATGGATTCTTGGCACGCTGGCACTTTGCCAGGCTTTCGCAATTGAGACTGCATTCACGTGTCTGATGTTTTTCTTCCTTCTATTAGCGACTTTATGCTTTTCATGCTTTTCTTCGCATAGTAAACTCTTCGGTAACACGCGGTATCGCACCAGTGTCATTTCCTTGAAACTTCTTCAACACGCGGTATCGTACCGGCGTCATTTCTTTGAACCTTTCTCCTCTTTGTGTTTTTTTTGCCCCTTCCTTTTTTTCTATTAGTAGCTTTTTTTGCCGATGTTCGCTATGGCATGGGTTCGAGTTACCAGTTATGTGATTTATACTTTTTCCAGAGACAAAATGAGCTGGCATACGGCTTCTGGGAAGAAGATCGCGCTATCGGTAAGTGATAAACTTTTTATGAAGGTAGCGTACTGTGTATTATGCTTGTTCCAGACAGCACCTCCAGAGGAATCCACAAATCAGGTGCGTTTTCTCCGGATTGTGTGACATGTAACCTTTTTATTATTTGGGTTATTTGATTACTTGTGATTCGCTAGTGGGAACGTAGTGGTG